ATTTGGGACATCAGAGTGGGATTGGGATGGGAAGTGGGAGATGGGATGGATGGGATGGGATGGGATGGGGTGGATGGGATCTGTGCCCTCACCTGCCCCCACAGACGTATCTCTTGACCAGCATGGCCCCGGCCACGGCTGCCACCACGAGCGCGGCCACCACAGCCAGGGCCACGGGCACGGAGCTGCCTGAGGATCCCTGCTGGAAAACCGGGAAAACACGGAGCTGGGGGGGCAGGGACACCCCAAACATCGCCCTTGAACACCCCTAAACACAACTATCCCCCAAAGAACACCCCCCTCCTCCCGCTGACCCGGGGGATTAACGGCCACCACGGCCAAGGCCCCTGGGACAGAGCTGCCAGAAGTGGGAAAACCCGGAGCTGGGGGGCAGGAACACCCCAAAACACTCCTTTCTCCCCCCAGACACCCCAAAATACCCCCAAACACCCCCATTCCCCCTAACACAGCCACCCTCCCGCTGATCCCGGGGATTTAATGGCCACCACAGCTGGGACTGCTGGGATGGAGCTGCTGGAAAACCAGAAAACCCAGAGCTAGGGGGGCAGGGACACCCCAAACACCCCCCCTGAACACCCCAAACACCCCCATCCCCCCAAACACTCCCCTCTTCCTGCCGATCCCGGGGATGAGCGGCCCGATCCCGGGGATGAGCGGCCCGTGCCGGGATCGGGGCAGGTTTGAGGAGGGTTAGGAGGGTTATCCCGCCCATCCCGGAATTCCCGGCTCCCCAGGGACACCTGGAGCTGTCCCAGCCCCCACCCGGAGCTGTCCCAGCACCCACCAGCTGCCCGGGGCTGAGCAGGTCACTGGTGCATTTCTTCTTCATGTCCGTCTCCTCCCGGCTCGGGCTCTCCCCTCCGGAACATTTGTCCCCCGGGATTTTCCGGTACCTGGGAGTGGGGAGGGGACACCCGGTGACCCCGCGGCTCCCAGTACCCCTTCCCGGGGATCCCACAGGATTGGGGGATGCCAAGGGGGATTCCTGGTACCCGCTGGTGCGGAGCAGCTCCCGGCGGCCGTACAGGCAGAATTCCAGGTCGTGGCCCTTCAGCTCCGGCTGCTCCACACACTCGGATTGGTTCTCCGGGCGGTAGTACCCAAAATCACTGTGGGAACAGGGAATGGGATGGGATCCCATGGCATGGGATGGGAATGGGGATTGGTTCTTCGGGCAGCAGTACCCGAAATCACTGGGAACAGGGAACACGCGGCATCCTGCGGGAATGGGAAGGGCACAGGATGGGATAGGAACAGGAATGGGATGGGAATGGGGACTGGTTCTCAGGGTGATAATACCAAAAACTACTGGGAATAGGGAATGGGAGATGGGATCCCACAGGATGGGATGGGAATGGGGATTGGTTCTCCAGGCAGTAGTACCCGAAATCACTGGGAACACGGAATGGGATGGAACCCAATGGGAATGGGATGGGATGGGATAGGAATGGGAATGGGACGGGATGGGATGGGATAGGGATGGGAATGGGATGGGGATAGGATGGGAATGGGGATGGGATGGGAAAGGGAATGGGATGGGAATGGG